TTGTTCAGTATTTAGTTAGTCGTATCTGTGTGATCCTATCTAAATATTTTGGAACTTTTCTGCAATTCTGTGTGAATAGTGAGCATTATTTAGTTTATTTCTTTAAATTGTCTGCTTAGTGCTTGACAATATTTATAATTATAAATTACTAAATACCTGTTCATATTTTAATTTATATAGCTCATCTTTTTGATTTTTAGCCCAATCAAGAAAACTGCTAACAGATGGATTAGAAACTGAAATGACATATGGCCAAACCAATTCCATTGCCATTGCATTTCAGTAGATATTGCATACTGAATCCCATGCTTTATGGTGATCTGCGCATTTCTTAAAATAACCTAACTGACTTTCAGTTCTATATCCTTGGCATTGTGCAAAATACCGTAAGTCAATAGCCCTATATTTTAATATATAACAGTATAATAAAAAATTATAAAATTAAATTTATTTTTTTATTTAAAATTATAGTCAACTATCAATATAACAGGAATATGAGCTAATCTAAAAATTTTGCTACATTTGTCGCTAGCTAAAGAATTTTATGAAATTCGTTATATGGGTTAGTCATTTAATATTTAAATTATTACAGCTGTTCTCATAAATTCTAGGACAACTGATAATTATTGATTTAGTTAATAAGTTATTAATTTCAACTGAAACCAATAATTTATCGAATTCAGTAATCAAAAATTTTATCAATGTCACAGAATTTATAAGAACAGCTGTAAGTAGTTGATAAAATTTCTATTACACTAATATAGCTTTTTTTAATTTTGTATTTGGTTTATTACAGCTGTTCTTATAAATTCTGAGATATCTAAAAATTTATTCGTTTCCCGAAATCTTTTTGGTTTCGTTCTGTGAATTATCTAACTTTTCAGAAACTATGTTGCTATCTTCGGAACTTTGGTCCATAGATAGTAATATAGTTTCTGAAGAGTTGGATAATTTACAGAACGAAACCAAAAAAATTTCAGGAAACGAATAAATTTTTAGGTGTCTCAGAATTTATGAAAACAGCTGTAAACAGATTAAGCTAGTGAATTCAATATGAGGTGTTTATTATGTTGGTAATTGACTGTAGTTTAATATTTGACATTATACCAATTCAATTCTACGAAAGCTTTTAGCATATTCATTTTTTCGTGAAGTGGACCAGGCAACAAAATAATTTTCGGATATTTATTTTTGAATTTTTGCACATAATGATATGGAATTCCGTCACAAACTACTACAATCCATTCTCGAATACCACTACTAATTCTACAAATTTTTTGGATATGATCTAAAACCTTGCGAACATTATCAATAGAATTTGGATTAATTGGTAAAGGATCAGGTACAAGAATATCAGATATATTAACGCTATCTTGAGGTTTAAATTTTTGGGTTATGCTAATTGGATTTATAAATTTATCTGATATACTTGTATTAGGTTTATAGGGTCTAAAAATTAATGGTTTAGTAGAATCTTTTGTTTTAATTATAGTTTGTTCATTTTCTTGTTGAGTTTCAGCAAGTGAAGGAAGTTTTGCATTATATTGAGGGTATTTACGTTTTGAATTTTCAATCTTATTTTTACCACATTCATGATATTGTTTTTGATTGTTTGTTTTAGTGCTTTGATTAGCTACTAAATTATCAGTAATATTTGAATTTTCATTTTTTTTCTTTGCATAGTACAGCTAAAATAGACGAAAGATAATCATGAAGTTGATGATCAAGCAATATTTGCATTTCTAAAGTAAGGTTAAATAGCTCCTCAATTTGTAGTGTATTTTGATATAACCAAGGATTTTCAAAATTTTGTATTTGATTAGTAGGATTGAAGTTAAATAAAACAAAACTAGTAACTGTATGAAAAATTACTTTATTGTATCCATGATCCAAGTAGTTTTTTTGCGATTAAAATTTTCCTCTTGAATGAGAGGTTTCTTTGAGATAGATTATCCAGGGAGTCTTTTAGTTTCTTGATTGTTGTTGGCCAGAGGTCCTTTTTAGGCTATCCATTGGACTGAATTGTATATCCTAAAATAG